CAACAGTTTTCAACAAAAACTTTCAGACATTCAAACAAAGTGACGCAAATAAAATCCTTTTTATGTGTATGTACTCATTTATACTTATTTGTTCGCTTTACTGCTTGCAACCGACAGTGACCGGGAATTGGTGGTGCGGTTCTACGGATTACGGCACGAGCGATACTCCTGGCGATGACGACAGCGATGGCTGTAACGTGGATGTTGGTACGGTGGCCAGCTCTGCTGTTGCTATTGCCGCTGATGACGATGACGGCACTGATTTTGAGCATGGGCCCTGGCTGTCGACAGCAGCGGTAGCTGCATGCTCGGAGGAAATGTCAGTTAGTTTCTAGATTTCAGTGATGAAGACGGCATCCATAGTACAACAGACGGCTCTGAGCAGCAGTGATGCGGACATTGTTTTGCTACATCAAAAAGAAAAAAATACTTTTGAAAAATCCTTTTTTCGAGTTTTGTGTGACTGCTAACTGCGAACAGCAAAAAATTCAGAGTAAATAGTCATTTTACTGAATTGGAACTGATTTTAAACTTGTCACAGAAAGGTTTTGACAGTAATTAATCACTTCTTTCCTCAAAAAATAATGACATAAATATTTTGGCATTTTTTCGATGACCCCTTAAGCCAAATGCTGTTTTAAAAATCTCAAATTCAGTTTTTGCTTCATTCCTTTCTCACCGTAGAATGTCCGAAGATATCAGTTACTGACAAGCAGTTTTTTTTCACTTTTTTTTCTTGTTCTCTTTCTTTATCGACTTTCGCCTGTAAAATTTGACTGTATAACGACGAACAAAAGCGAATTTCTTTATTTTTTCTACCACTGTAATAAAAGCAAAAGCGAAAGAGGAGGACTGTTCACTGAGGTAAAAAAAGAATTAAGTTATATTCTATTTTTCTGTCTCCATCCTCATCCAGTCAATTAGCGTTTCATGCGTTATTTGTCAGCAAAAAAAATACTGTTCTGAAGAATTTTTTTCTTCACAAAAACAAAGAAAAACATATTGTTTGATTAGCAGAAATAGCTTGTAGAAAAGATTTTCTGCCTTATGCAGATCAATATAATTTAAATGCTCTGGTTAACTGAAATTTATTTCTTTAACACGTCTCTTTAACGCTTCAAATGTCGCCGTTTTCTTTACTGGTTCGTTTATCTCGCTTCCAGACTCAAATACAGTTGAAAATTTTTTGCTTAGAAGAGTAGTGCAATTTAATTAGGATGCCTCCGCTAGAAGAAAAACAAACTAGGGAGTGCAATTTGTAACGCTGTATTGCTGCCAAGCCTACAAAATAAAACAGAACAAGAACAATGGAAAACACTGGAAACACGCCTCACTTTTTGCCTATAACCATTAACTTTCTTATCTTTTTGCGAGTATGTCGTTGTTTTTTCTCCTCTCTTTAATTACCATACACTGATTGTTGTATTGTAACTTTTACACAAACTGAGGACTAAACGGTGTGCAGTGGACAAAAAAGGAATGAAAACAAACAGAAGAGTGACGACGGAAAGTGAGCAGGAAGAATACACTCTTAGTTTTATTCACATTTATTTAACTGTTCAGTACAGTGAACATACAGGTGAACAGATTAATCACTTGTATAAGTTAGAAAAAAAAGAAAAGAGGTAACGAAATAAGATAAGATTGAAAAGTGATTACATCTATCTTTACAGTGAAGCAAAAATTTCAGTTGAAAAAATATTACTTTTTGTTACTCTTTACTTCATCTGGGAAGACCTTGTAAATTATTTTTTCCTTTTTATAGCGAAGGAGAAAAAATCGTGTGCAGGAAAGCGATGGACAAAGTCTCGTTTAACAGGACCATTATGTCTCACTCATGGGGAAGAGCAAAAAAAGTTTCAAATATGAGAATGGTTTGATTGCCGTTTGCTTTATGGACAAAATGTGGCTGGCGGCAGGCATGAAATAAGCTAAATTTGAAAATTTTATTGTTAGCACCACTACCAAGACCGTAAACTGCCTAAGTACTTTATCTGATGCCTACAAAGTATCCTTCAAATTGAGAATTGTTAATAGAACATATCGAAGAAATTTTGTAGAGGATTATAGAGAACACTGGAGATACCTCCAAGAAGAACCTTTACTGTTATGAAGACAATGAGGCTTTTCAATGAGAAATTTGTAATTTTGCAAGGCTTTTTGGGGATGTAAACCTGAAAATTCTCTGAATCACCTCTGTGTGCAACAATTTCAAAATACCCATGCAATCGCCAACGTCTCTCTTGATAAATATGCCTGCAGATGCAACCTTAAAAGCTGTTTAGTTTACCAATGATCATGCAGATGAGGTTCACAACTGTAAGTATCGTTTATTCGATGTAGACTTCAGCTTGTGCATACGCTTGAGTGGCTCCCATTAGCCGCTCCATAAAAAATTTGGTTTTCTTTTCTCAAAAAAAAAAAAAAAAAAAAAAAAAAAAAAA